ACTGTGTGCCAGGGATGAAATAAAGCTCACCTTTGTGCTGCTAATGCTGCAGATGAGACGAGATGTGGGAATGGAAAAGCCAGAGGGACTATTTTAACAATCCTTTTCCCCCCTCCGCTTTGCTATTCAGTGCCATGCCGACTAATGGATTACCTCATCCTCCAAAAAGCTGTTCAATCTCTCTGTGTGATTGTGTGAGTCTCTTTCATCTTCAGAGAGAGAGGATTAAACAAAGAACTCTAATGTTAGATGTGCAAGAGTCTTGAGGAAATAATACCAGATTGGACCCTTGTTTTTTGTGTGTCCTCCATATCTTTGCACGGAGTAAAATGGGAAGATGAATGCGTTTTTTGGAAATGTCTAAATTACAAAAAGATAAATATGAATAGTGTCTAGATTGCTATTCATTTGGCACTTATTCAGCCTGGTCTTAAATGTGGACAAAAAGTTAAAACCAAAGAAAGAGGTCTGAATTTAACAACTCAGCTCCCGTGTATGTAGAGGTATAATTAAGATTAAAATAAGATGAGATAAGATAGACTTTATGGATCTCACACAGGATATATTTACATCACCACCCATTCACACAAACACCAGACTCATTCTAATGTGGGTGAAGTTTACTAACATTAGTTTTGCCTTGTGATCACACTATTATTTTATTTCTTCAGTCAAAACTGTTAAGATTTGTCAATTTGTTTGATTTTGATTCAGTTTCGGTTTGAAGAGAATAAAAAAGCACTACCGGCAAAAATCTAAAAAATATAGGAGGATATGGGGATATAATCTGAGGGCTTGTGGTAACCTTACAATTGAAGCAGTAAGAACCACGAGGAGAAGTTTGTGTGTGGTGCAAAACTTTAGAACAGATTAGAAGAAGAGCTCAAACGCTGTCCAAACATTCATTGGTTCAAATAAAAAAAAAAAGAGTATTGTCAATGTACAAGAATGTGTAAAGTGAATGTGTGAATGTTGAAGAAGGGAATTTCTAAGTATACTATATTGATATTGATATGTCTGTGCTGTTGTTGCGGTTATAGGCATCATTAGGGCATATAGAAATCCCAAAATAAATCCATAAATACATTGATTATGACATACAACATATTGGTATAGATCGTATATAGATATTAGGGCATATCCAATTGGGTGTTTAGTATTTTGAAAACAATATTCCCGCGATTTTGGTCATTCACCTAAAGATGCGATATGCATGGAACCGCAAGAAAAAATATCTCTAACAAAAATCAAGCACAACACAGTATAGCTCACATAGCAACCCCAAATTTTGCCAAAAGTTTCCAATTCCATAGACAAAGAGTGTGCACTTTGCTATATACCGTGTAATGGCTGCAGTTAAAGCTTTGTGCTGCTCATAATGAACAACAGAAGCAAAACTGTCATACATTTTTGTTTGTGCATTTGCCTTTCGTTTGACCGGAGGCGGTTGTGGAGTTTTAGATTATAAATACACAGCATAAAGTACCTTGAGGTTGTGCTGGAGGTGGCTCCGGAGATTTGTCTTGTTTCCCTTCAACGTAGCGCCTACTTTTCTGCATAACTTGCGAATAACTTGTTTCTGTGATTGGTCCGGTCTTGTAAACCCAAAGTAGTTCCAAATTCCGCAGTCTGCGTTCGTCTGCATTCGTCTCGTCATCATCCACTGCGCTTGTTTTATTTCTCTGTGTGCTTCAGTCTAGCGTGTGGCGGCACTAGGTCGCAGCCGATTCATCAAAGTGTGCGTGCAAGAAATGCATATTTAAATATATCAAAATTATTGCACATCTCTCAGATATAGATATTGCACGTTCCAATATTGCGATTACAATATTTTTCCAATGTATTATGTGGCCCTAGTCTGCAGCTGTTTTTAGTGTATATGCAGCTGTTTTTAGTGTATATAAGCAGCTGTTTTTAGTGTATATGCAGCTGTTTTTAGTGTGTACGCAGCTGTTTTTAGTGTATATGCAGCTGTTTTTAGTGTATATAAGCAGCTGTTTTTATTGTGTATGCAGCTGTTTTTAGTGTATATTCAGCTGTTTTTAGTGCATATAAGCAGCTGTTTTTAGTGTATATGCAGCTGTTTTTAGTGTGTATACAGCTGTTTTTAGTGTGTATGCAGCTGTTTTTTGTGTATATGCAGCTGTTTTTAGTGTGTATGCAGCTGTTTTTAGTGTATATGCAGCTGTTTTTAGTGTGTATGCAACTGTTTTTAGTGTATATGCAGCTGTTTTTAGTGTGTATGCAGCTGTTTTTAGTGTATATGCAGCTGTTTTTAGTGTGTATGCAGCTGGTTTTAGTGTATATAAGCAGTTGTTTTTAGTGTATACTGTATGCAGCTGTTTTTAGTGTGCATGCAGCTGTTTTAGTGTATATGCAGCTGTTTTTAGTGTGTATGCAGCTGTTTTTAGTGTATATGCAGCTGTTTTTAGTGTATATAAGCAGCTGTTTTTAGTGTATACTGTATGCAGCTGTTTTTAGTGTGTATGCAGCTGTTTTTAGTGTATATGCAGCTGTTTTTAGTGTATATGCAGCTGTTTTTAGTGTATATGCAGCTGTTTTTAGTGTGTATGCAGCTGTTTTTAGTGTATATAAGCAGCTGTTTTTAGTGTATACTATATGCAGCTGTTTTTAGTGTGTATGCAGCTGTTTTTAGTGTATATGCAGCTGTTTTTAGTGTATATGCAGCTGTTTTTAGTGTGTATGCAGCTGTTTTTAGTGTATATGCAGCTGTTTTTAGTGTATATAAGCAGCTGTTTTTAGTGTATATGCAGCTGTTTTTAGTGTGTATGCAGCTGTTTTTAGTGTGTATGCAGCTGTTTTAGTGTATATGCAGCTGTTTTTAGTGTGTATGCAGCTGTTTTTAGTGTATATGCAGCTGTTTTTAGTGTGTATGCAGCTGTTTTTAGTGTATTCAGTGGTTTTTATCTATGCAGCTGTTTATGTGTATGCAGCTGTTTTTTGTGTATTTTGTGTATGCAGTGTTTTTTTTGTATATGGCTGTTTTTTTGTGTATGGGGCTGTTTTTGTGTATGCAGCTGTTTTTGTGTATGCAGTGTTTTTTTGTGTATGTAGCTGTTTTGTGTCATGGTTCAGTGGCTGCAGCTCACAGTGTATACTAGAATATCTGTGGCACAGGCTTTTAATGAGCTCTAAACTCCGCTGTGTCTCTGTGCTGCATCCCAGGCGAATGGGACAGGTAAGCAAATTTTGTGGGAACGACTACAAGAAAAATTCAGAGTGTGTGTTTTTATCATTATTCTTGTTTGCATGTGGCCGGAAAAATGGCAATGGCTAAAATCTATCATCTCTGTCTGGTGCACACTGGGGTTGTCTTGCACAGTTTCTCCAATGTGGTTTTACTGCAACACCAGATTATAGCTATATATAGGACGTTTCTATCTGCAGTCCCTGGTTACAGAGAAATAATTGATGATGTACAATATGAAAATGCATCCATCCGTTCTCTATCAACCACACAACACTTTACCATTCACTACTTTCACTTATACTGCATCCGTTACATGTCCTAGGGTTATTCTCCCATCAGTGATATGCCTGGCCACTCAACAGCTACTTGTTCAGTTCAAAGGTAAAAGTATTGTTTGAGTAAACCTGTCGTACTGTATCTATGTCCCATTATCTGATGATTTATTGTACGAGACATATTCAGGGGATGGTGTTATAACATAAAACACATTTATCTCTAAACATAGATCCACAAAGGTAATACACAGGGTCAGTTTTTGAGGCCAGTTTTTCTGATGAATTGTTTGCTCAATCCCAAAGCGACGGAGGTAAAGATGGATGTGTTGCTTCTGTCATGTTTCACACTGGCGCCGCCTGATTTAGCCCGTGCCAGAATCAGGTTTTTCTCACTGTCGTCCTGTGAGTCTCTTTTGTTTCGCAGCCAGAGCCCTCTCTTGGCACAATACACACAATTTTACTTTGTCATTGTTGCAGACTTTGGGCCTGGGACCTGTGTGTTTGAAGCAATGCCTACATTTGTGAATCCCTGTTGGACAGCCCTCAGCCTGCTCCCTCCCATCCTCCCCCACCTCCCCCACCTCCCCTTGGACGCTCTCCAGGTCTGTGGTTCAGCAGGGCATCACATTGATTTGACATGGGAATGCTCATGTGAGTTGTTTGGGTAAATACTAATGCTTTGTGGCACACAACCATCACACACACGTGAGTCATGGGCTGCACGCTTCCTGCTCTCTGTAATAGGACGTGCTCCAAAACACACATCAGAAATAAACACATTTCTTTATATTTTAGTTTATATTTGTTCAAATGGAACTCCTCTTTATCTGAATGTTCAAAGCACTTGTCACTTGTGTAGACATTAAAAACCCTATGCATTTAATCTGTCAGAGTTTCTCAATGCACACAGATTATTTTGTCTATGTGAAATTCAATTACTGTATTTGAATATGAATATCTGCGTCTTCTCATACGATTCTGCCAGATGGATAATGTAATCACCAGGGTTTGTTCCTCTGTTAGTTAGTTAGCACCAGTGGTCTCCAACCTGTAGCTCAGGAGCTACCAGTAAGTCCTTACCAGTCTTTCAATTTTTATTTCAATTCAAGTTTAGTTGTATAGCACAGTTCATAGAGAAAGCAACTCAATGTGCTTTACAAAACATAAAATATAAAATGAAATATATTATATAACAAATAATAATATATCAAAATATAATAACATCATTATATAACTGTCTATGGACAACAACACAGAATAATTCAATGTTAATTTTCTGTATATGTATTTGTTATACTTAAGTCCCTGTGTGTGGGGAACACAGGGATTGACTTCCTACTGGTGCCAAATATGAAATCCAGGTGTAAAACAGTTATGTTTAGCTCTGCATACATCTTTACTCTTTTTAATGTGCTGTGATTGTTTATGATTTGCCTTGTGCATGAACTGTGCTATACAAATAATATTGCTTTATACCTTCATGTCTATTGTCATGCAACCACATTAGTTCTTACCTTCTCTGTGGACTGCGACGTGCCAAAAAAGATGGGGATGAAAGCCAGCCAGATGATGCAGGTGGTGTACATGGTGAAGCCAATAGGTTTGGCCTCATTGAAGGTCTCTGGCACCCCCCTGGTTTTAATGGCATAAACCGTACACGTGACCATGAGCAGCATGCTATAACCCAGCAGGCAGATGAGAGACAGGTCTGAAATGTCACACTTCAGAACCCCGCGGGCCATGGTGGGGTTGGACGTCCGCTGGTCCTCGTAATCGATGATGGCTTTGGACGGATCGCTCGCAAACCAGATACACACCCCGATCAGCTGCACCGACGCCAGGGTAAAGGTAATCGCCAGTTGGGAGGCGGGGGAGATGAACCGTGGGGCACTCACCGACATTGTGCCTTGCTCGAAAATGCGATAAATGCGGTTGGTTTTCGTAAGCAGCGCCGCGTAACTAATACTCATGCCGAGCCCCAGAAAGATCCTTCGCAGAGAGCAGATCCCCACATCCGGAGAGGAGATCATCAGGAAGGTGGTGGCATAGCAGAGAAAGATACCGGTTAGCAGCACATAGCTCAGCTCGCGGCCGGAGGCTTTGACGATGGGGGTGTCGTTGTAGCGTACAAACGTCGCCACCACGAACAGAGTGGCCATGATGCCCACCACGGCGATGAGAACGGGGAAGACGGCCCAGGGAGAGCTCCATTCCAGCTTGACGATGGGGATTGGAACGCAGCCTGTGTGGTTCTCATTAGGCCTCAAATCAAAGCGACACATTTTGCAGGTGTAGGTGTCGGCCTGGTACTGGTAACCGTCGCATCGCTCGCAGTGCCAGCAACAAGGAATGCCCTTCACGATCTTCTTGCGCTCCCCGGCCTGACAGGGCTGGCTGCAGATAGACGTGGGAATGTGGCGAAGTCCACCGGGCCACTGCATCGACCGGATCTGTTGAGGAAAGACAACACACATACAGGAATGAGCAGGGCGTGTGAGAGAAATCCAATAATCTCAAAAGTAAACAGCCTCCATTTTGTTTTCCAATTTTGTTTTCTGACCCAAAATAACGAAGATGCTGTGTTGTCGAACTAGGGCTGAGTATCGTTCAGGGCCTCAATATGCAAGACACAATTTAATATGGTTCCCTAAAAATATAAATAGCTTTTGGCACCTTCCCTGAAAGATTTGAAAAAAAATACACTATTGATGTGTTAATATTTCATTTATTGAAGATTCATTGGTCATATATCTTGCTTTTTCATCAAGCTAAAGTTAGAGATTCTATTTCATTTTAGTTATTGTTAATTTTTGTTGTGTTGTGTGCCCCTTATTCCTACTGTTCTGTAAATAATGATTCAACACTGACATTGACTCACTGTGGGACAAATAAAGAATTTCTTAATCTTAATGTTTAGATATTAAAAAAAACAAGATTTTTTTAAGGGATGAAAAAAAAAACATTAAATTGTAATAAAAAATAAATCTACTACTTTTTTCATTTATTGATCTTTATCCAATCACCAAGTCCCACTGAGAATCCAGAATCTCTTTTTAAGAGGGGTCCTGGCCCCAGAGAGAGGGGAGCAAATATACATGTTTTTGGGGAAACCAGAGTGCCCAGAGGAAACAAACACGACACAGGGAGAACATGCAAACTGCTCTAAGAGAGAACCTGGAATATAGACCAAGCCATGGCATCAAACCAATCTGTACAGTTCAAATTTGCTCAAATTTGGCAAAATGTGTCTTACATTGAGCACATTCTGACTGCCTTAAAACAAGATATACCAATGGGGCGAGCTAGATTATCTTGTTTAAAAAAGATATAATAAGTTATTGAAATAAAATAAATGGTTTTGTCCCATTGGCAAATTGTGTTACTTGGAGGCAAAGCTATATCCTGTCACTCCTCTGAAGCTGTGGCGGGCAGGGCCTGGTTAGTGCTGTGATGGGAGACCTCTGGGAACACCAGGTGCCACAGTAAGTAAGTAAGTAAGTAAGTAAGTTTTTATTTATATACCGCCTTTTCACTGCAGATCTGAGTCTCAAAGCGGTTTACAATTGTTAATTTTTTGGGCATTTGTCTCTCACTCCACACAGAGATGGGAGCGGGGTCGCCAGTACAGGAGGCTCATGCCAGAACTATTGGACATATTTTTAGTGGTAGGGGAAACCGGAGTACCCGGAGGAAACCTACGCAGACACGGGGAGAACATGCAAACTCCACTCAGAAAGGCCCTGGTCCGACCGGGATTCGAACCCAGGACCTTCTTGCTGAGAGGCGAGAGTGCTATCCACTCAGCCACCGTGCAGTGAGGTGACTGTTGTTACGTCCTTAGACAACACACTTCCCCCACATTATAATGAGTCTGGTGTGTGTGTGTGAATGGTTGGTGGAGGGAGGGGCCAATGGCACATACTGGTTGCCTCACTTCTGTCAGTGTGCCCCTGAGCAGGTGTGGCTATTGTAATAGTTTATCACCACCGTGTATGGAGTGAACGCATAATGACATGTGACGCATCTTTGAGTAATGAGCTATACATATATTTAAAAAAAAATCATTATCAATATTATTATGATTATTATTTAAGGCAGTCAGAATGTACTCAAACTAAGACAAACAACACTATTACTACCTCATAAATCATCTTTTTTTTGCAGTGTAGAGAAAGGTCAACATATAGACAAGCATGAGCTGGGATTTAGAGACAGAATGATACGAGGAGAGGTAAAGCCGGCCGTATCTGAGGAACAATGGTGATGTTTATTGATCCCCCAGGATATACTATACCACAGACGCTCAAGGACAAACTACAGAACAGGTTCTTTTTTGCTTGGAGGTGAAATAAACTATATGAGCTGATGATTCTGTACACACTGGAGGTGCATGGAGGTGATGAGGGAGGGTCAAACTTGAGGTCAAACCGACCTTTCCAGTTAGGATTAAAGAATCTTCCAGCCACAGGTCAAGACACATGAAGGGCAAGTGAAACGTGAATGGAGGAGGAGGAGGAGGAGGAAGAGTAACACAACCCGTAGTCATGCGGGCTTCGAAAGTGCCCTAGATTTGATTACATACTATCTGGTTATTAGATACGTGCCATTTCACATGTTTATCCTTCAGACCAATTCAGACGTGGAAAGAATGAGAAAACACTGATATTTCAAACACTATATATCAAATATAAACTCGCTATTAACGGGAAAATAAATAAAAAACGATTCAAGAATTCTTAAAACTGCCTTAATCCTTTAATGTTCACTCCTTGAAGAAAGCAATATATTATTTCATTTTTCTGATTAGTAGGAGCACTAAAAACACAGACAATTTGCACGTATGTTTTTGTTTTTTTACACATTTTTTTTATTATTCTAGGCCTTTACCAAATGTTTGACATGCAGTTTGATGGTAAGAGAATAAAACCAAGTGATAGAGGTGCCCCAATGAGGTATGACTGATGACTTCAGTTTCAAGCTTCAGGTAGATATTGCACAGTGACTCAAAAAGTCATCCAAAAGTTTGAGGAAACTATTGAAGGAACAAACAATCTTGTTTTAAAAAGATACAAGAAAACGTTTTAGAAATAAGTTTAAATGGCTTTGTCAGAATGTAAAAAAAAACACTTGATTTAAGCTTCTATGACACCTTTTTGCAGTGTATGTTTTAGTCTATGGTATGTCCGCCAGAGTCTGTGTCTCAAGAATCATTGGAACATGAATCTGTTCAAACATCAACCTTTTCGTCTCAATTTTTTTTTGTTGCACAGAGAGAAATCTGTCTCCTTTCCGCATTCAGACAACGTCTTCTCTGATTCAGATTTCACTCAATTGCGGCTCTCCATCCAAAGCCGGTGAATCAGTCTCTAAATGTGGCTTTAATCAACCTCTCTAAAAGCCCTAATTCAATTCAGGCGGCTTTAGCCCGTGTTGGCATGTTCCTCAGAGGATTCCCAGCACAAACCACAGTCCTCTTTCAGACAATCTCTCAGTTATCCTTGTGTCCCTGAACTATCGGCTCTTCCATTGTATTTTTCTTAGCTTTGATGAACCTAACAGTAGCATCTTGTGTGTCATGGCGTAATAACTCTTCATTCAAATCAGTTAACAATGCCAGCTATGGTTGCAGGCTCTGACTATGATTCAATATTGCAGAGAAAACATTGCTAGTAGCAACATCACCAAGATATATAACGACGTGTTGCATTCACACTTGCCTTATGGAAATGAGGCTGCCCTTGTGTGTCCTTCCAGTGCTGGATACAGGGCATGTGCGAGCAATCAAGTAATGCTTTTTTTTTGCTTTGTTCATTTTGTATTCCCATTTTGTGATTTGTTTTTCTGAAACAAAATTTACGAGACTACAATTTGTATACAATGTGCTGTATTGTCGAACGAGGGCCGGGTATCTTTCAGAGCCTGATTATACAAGATGTACATCTCTCTATGCACACTGCAAAACAAGACTTGCCAATGGAGCAAGCAAAACTGTCTCCCTTGGGATTGGGAAATATAGCAACGGTTTTTCAAACAAAATTAAATGCCTCTGAACCGGGGCGACAGATGCTCAGATGGTAGACTATTGGTCTTTAAACCTACTGGTCGTGGGTTCGATCCCCCCACGACACATGTCTTTTGCTCCCACTGATGTCTGCTGTCGTTGTGTCCCTGGGCAAGACACTTAACCCCTCTTTGCCTGAAGCCCCTACTGAAGAAGAAACCTCTTATTAGCGAGAGACTAGTGCTATGTGCATTGGGTGGCAGCTCTAATTGCCACCCCCCCAACCCAGAAATGGATTTTATAAAGAGGATGACAATGACATGACCTGACTTTGTCCCACATGCAAATCTTGTTTTAGAACAGTCAGAATGAACTCAAAGATAAGATTAAAACAAATTGATTATTACTTCTTATTCTTATATATTTTTGGCCTCATATTTTTCAAAGGCATTAAATAAGTTGAGGAAAATAAGATTGCTCACCAACTATTTTGGTCTGCACATTAACTGAAGAGCAAACATTTTAGGGAGGGCCGTGCAAAAACACTATCCTTGAACATTCAGGACACACGACCTTATTACAGGACAAGACATCGTTCATATTTATGTCTTGTTGTATTATGTCGTGTAGAACCAGTTGTGATGAAGCCATTTTGGAAGTAATACACAACTGTCAACGACCAGAGTAAACTACGAGAAAACACAAAAGGGAAACAGATTTTCTATTAAATATCACAATACTTTTCTCAACTACTGTATGGATTAAATTCTGTGTGCAAAATCGCAGTATTGATTTTCCCCTCACCAGTATCAGTTCCCAATGATCTGTTGGTCTGATGTGGATCTGTACTCACGTTGAGATGCAGCTGGTCGGTCCAGTGGCCGATGATCTTGTATTCCGCCGTCTTGTTGCGGATTTGGTATTGATAAATCTCGTAGCGTCCGGGAGCGTCTCCGTCTGAGTTGAAGAGCACTGGGTTTCCTGCGATGCCTAAACGAGAGAATAATAGGCGTCATCAGCGTGTGGCCTCATGGAGGTAATTGAGCTATTTCTGCGTTGAGTGTGAATCGATAAGAGGATGATGAATGTGTCATTGACAGAGCTTTTTTCATAACTACATTGTTGAGTTAAGGATTAAGATGAGAGTGAGAGTGCTTCCTGAATTGCATTTTTTCCTCTTACACAATTATAACATATATATACCTTGTAAATACTTTATCTGGCTTTAACTGTAAATGCAATTATATTCAATTGCAACCATTGATATCAGATGCTTCTGAAAACCACAATATGAACTACATGAGTGTAAAATACTCATCTGTACAATATTCATTTCTCAGAATGTGCAATATAGAACCAAATGTGTCCACTGCAGCTGCTATTGTTACAGATATAAAAATACAACTATATATTTCTTGCACGAGAATATACAGTGCTTTATACTTGCTTCTTATGCTAAAGTTAGGGATTTTTTATTTTTTATTGTTGCTTCTTCATTACGCTAAAACTAGAGATTATCTATTATTTTACTTTAGAGTTATTGTTTGCTTATCTTTGGCTAAGTGCTCCTCATTCCTACTGTTCTATAACTTGTGATGCAACACTGACATTTCCCCACTGTGGGACGAATAAAGGACAAATTAATCTTAATCTGGTAGATGAAGAAAGACAAAGTTTACGAGAACCTCAGATTTAAGAAATAATAAATTCCACAAATGCCTGAATGAGAAGTGTTTCATGTGTAAAAAGACCATTGTGTTTGTGCATAACCTGAAGTTAAACTTTGGCTTCATTGGAAGTAATTCAGAATGACCTCAATATTGTGGCATGCAATAGGAATAATTTAGGTTAAAAAATTTAACCAAATACAGAATGAAATGTGTTCAAACATCCCATTGCGTAACAATTAACCTCTAGATGTTTTCCAGGTTCATCACTTAAGATTTGTTGTGGTCAAAAGTAAACAAAATCCCATATTTCAGGATCTTAACATCTAAACTATTCAAAAGAATCATCTTCCAAATAATACATTATAAAATAATTAAATTAATAAGCTGACTTCCAGACTTAAAAGGACCTGGTTCCTTTCTTCTAAAGTAATTCCACACAAAGATCTCAGAATATGGTCGCTCTTTACTAAATCACTTTTTAAATAGAATATCTTATGTTTACTTTAGGCCTTGCTCTCAGGTTGTAACCATTCAGTATAATTGTTTTGAGTGCTCTTCTATTCGTCTGTAATGTACACTGACATTTCGCCACTGTTGACTAAAAAAGTGATTGTCTGGAGTTATTCAGAAAAAAGAGAGAGAGGTACATGATTTAAAAAAAAAACGACCCAAGCTCCCTCCCCCTTCTTTTCTGATTGACAGCCCTTGGTCTCACTTGATTGGCTAAACTGGACGGCATCGATTCTGAGCTATATCTAAGAGAAGGGAAGGCGGGACTTACCCGTAATATTAGAATTCATAAAATGACTTATTTTATATCAACATTTAAGGCCAGGAGGTCCATTTAATACAATTCTTCAAATGTGTAAATCATTTAGAGTTCCAGACTATCACTTTATCTAATCTTAAATATTTTCTAGATTCAACACCAGGGCTGCCGAGAGCGTCACTCGAGCCACATTCACAGAGGATCCTTTCGTTATGCCGAGACCCCTCCATAACCTGGGGCCGTATTCCTAAAGATTCTGAGAGTCCTCTCAGAGAGCTCTTATCTTAACCTAAAAACTCCTAGCTAGGAGTCTTAGCTTAAAAGTTATTCCAGAACACTCTTAGAGAACTCTGAGCAAGGAATTGACAACAACTTTTATCTTAGTGAGGAGGCGTGGCCGACCCCGTTGCTAGGTATGAGTCATCATTTCAGACGCTGTGATTGGTTGATCCTAAAAGTTAGAACAAACATATTTTTGATGATAATAGGCAAAATAAGGGCCCTAAAATGGACAAACTCAATCATGGAATCTAATCTTAGGAACACTGTGTTATTGTAAATAATAACCAAAAGCTATAAAGTCAGATATATCAATGGTACATAAATACTGTGAATAGTAAAGTTAGACTTATACACCATCATCAGAGCTTGCTCAGCACCAATTTATCACACATAATACGTATATATCATGAGCACTTATAATTTTATATATATATATATATATATATATATATACATATAATTTAAATATTACTCTATATATAATATACATGATAAAGAAAATTATTATTATAAATATTATATGGATAAATGATGATAATGATAACGTTAGGATTAGTAAAGGCTGTGATATGTATAGACTTATAAGGAATTAAGGAAACAATATTAATATAAACATATTATACATACACAGTACAAATCAAGTACAAGGGAGCTTAAAAGTCTTATCCTCTCCCACTCCTTTTTGAGCTGGATTGTTGTTAATAAAACAAAACTGTATATTTGTACTTCTATTCTGTTGTTGTTTTGTTTGTTTTGTCCTTTTTTTTCTTGTTTGCCATGGCTCAAAATAAAGTATTCATTCATTCGTACTGAATGTGTGACAATTTAGGACCACTTTTTCCTCTCTTTCAACTTTTACCATTTCTACTTACTTTTGTGTAACAAAGGTAAAATGGATGAGGTGTTATTGCTGACCAGCCAATGAGAAGCTGGTCACATGATTGACTTTTAAATATACCACAAACATGATTCCTGCTTGAATCTGTAGCGTTTCACTGATTCACTGTCATCCAGTGTATAGAATATTTCTCCTGTCTCCACCGTCCACCATTTTGTGCTCTTAGGGAACTTTTAAGTCGCTAAAAGTCCTCCTCTCAACTCTTAAGGGATCTCCCCTTAAGAGCACTCTTAAGAGCTAGGATTTTTTAGGAATAGCTTTTATCTTAACTAGGAGCTACTCCTCACTTTTAGGGGAAATTCTAAGAGTTGGTCAAGATTCTAAGAAAATTCTTAGAATTTGGCCACTAGGAGCAACTTTTAGCAGTAAGAATCTTTAGGAATACGATCTTTATACACAGAATTATTTTTCCGCTTCAGCTTCAGCACTGGGACAACTGTGACTAGAAATCCAAGCAGGTCCATTGTCCAGAGAAAAGTTTCGAGTCTGGATGGATATGAAGAGATTTCCAAAGAGTAGTTTGCTAGTTGTAGCTTCAGTTTATCTGAATAAAAGCACAATCAGAAAAGTGATTTGTTTTTACTTGCATGAAACATTATTAACTTGCAGCATTGATCACAAGCGGTTGTAGAAATAGTTTTTTAAGACATACATAATTCATTTTACTCTAAATGTTGAATTCAGATTATTTCAGTTTTAGTTTATCTTAAAGTTCGGTCTTCAGTCTGAAATACTCTGTCCAAACAGAACTAATGTGTTCAGAAATATACCCGGAATTAAAAAAATAATAATAATAATATATTTTGACAAAACATTAAGTATCCAATATTTGGACCGCCACAACTTATAACATGCATATAAAAATAAGCACAGATGCTAAACATTGGCTTCAAAACGTTACACAAAGAAAAATGTACCCCAAAAAAACATCTACAAATGTTTTGATTCGGCCCACGATAAAAGTGACTTTGACCCTGTTCTCGGATGTGGTATCATTTAGACGTTTAGATCAGACATGTCCAACTCCCCTCAAATGATTTTCAATTATCATTATCACAGGAACTTGCAGCATTGATGGTGATGGGAATCTATGACACGTTATACTTCATTTAAAAGCCAATTATCTCGGGAAAACAACCGGAATGGTTTACTCAAATGTAAGTAGAAGTTATAGTTATCTAAATTATTATATTTTCATTTTTAACTATCAGTCTTCAAATACATCTCTTGTTTTCTTGCCCTGTACTGGTTGAATCCAAACGTACACAAACATAATATCCAAACTCATGTTAAATACATGCAGTTAATCTGTCAAAAGACGAAAATATGTAAATATAAAAAGGGGGCGACAGTGGCTCAGTCGGTAGACATTGGCCTTTGAGCCTGAAAGTCGTGGGTTCGAGCCCACCACAACACCTAGTTCAAGACTCCTACTGATGCCTGCTGTCGTTGTGTCCTTGGGCAAGACACTTCACCCCACTTTGCTCCTGTGGACTCGCCACCTGCAGGAGGATCAGTGAGGGGCTGGTGCTCTGTGTACTGGGTGCAGCTCTGACTGCCACTCCCCGACCCAGAAATGGATTAAGGGGAAGAAAATGGATGGATGGATGGATGGATCCTTTCACTTTATTCTACTTGTGTTTCCTTGTGTAGGAAAAGCACTTTGCAAATAATAGTTGATTGATTGATACTTATACTTCTGGCCCCAACCAGCTCTTATGTTTAGCCCAAAAACAGAAATGAGTTTGACACCCCTGGTTTAGATGTTCACACTTTCACTGAGGCCCAAGAACTTGTTTCTTTTTTTCTTCAATCACAAAAATAAACATCCCAGATAGTTTCTTTTTTTTGCCGTCTTTTTGATGGGTTTTCTTTGTCCTTGTTTTTGCACAAAAATGGTAGCCTCCTAATCCACATCTCTGCGAGTCTCTGGATTAGGGTATTACCGCTCTCCTCACACAGGCTTCTGACAATACCGCCCACATCACAAAACGCACACTGATCATGCTCGGATTACAGCGGCTGAGGAGGCAGAGAGGCTTAAAGCTTGTATCCAAATGTTGCTCACAGAAATGCATCACTGGCAGCAGATTCTGATCAAACATTGACTTATTCCCTGCTGATCTTAATGCGTCTAACGTGTTTTTCTTTGGCCCAGCTGGGGTCAGATCTGCATGTAACACACTCACGCCCAGAGGAGGAAATGAACCCAGAGCTGAAGCCCAGAATGTCCACGAGGCCTCTTGAAGTAAATAGCAGAGAAAAACATGAGCGAGGCACGGTGACATGTTATATACAGTATGGAGTGGCACATTAGCAGCTCTCACACACGTCACAGAGAGCTCTAAGTGCTATGTAACCAGTACAGTTG